GTTAGTGAGCGAGTTTAGTTTTACGCCGCACTCAGCAATATATTCCAGCTATATGGCGGCGGTCTGTAAATAATCGAGTCTGGACCGGACAATCCAGTGATCAACATCATGAGCATCGATCTACGAAAGCAGAATACGATGACATGTGGCAACCAAGTCAGCGAACCTGACCACTCGATCCCGTTAGTCGCCTCTTACGACAAACATGGGTTACTGAAGACCAATTCTAACCCGGATTTTCACGGGTCAGCGAGTTAGTGAGTTTTGTGAAACGCCACTTTGATAAGTATTCCAGTTATATCACGATTTGTCTGCCTAATGTGGGAGTGAGTGAGTGAGTCTAGTTTTACGCAGCACTCAGCAATATTCCATCTATATGGCGGCGGTCTGTAAATAAAAAGCCAGGGTGAGTCAGGGTGAGTTACCATTTCGGTAGAACACAAGTACATGTATGCTGCTTACAGATCTCGTAATGTATTCGGGGGAAACCGCTTTACTCCACAATCATAGGTTCCTGGCGTGCCCAAGGGACACAACTCTGCATTGTTTTTATAAATGAACTCTCACTAGAATTAGGTGGAATTTTGTTTCTGAGGAATAGGATAGAGAAAATTCTCCTCCTCCTTGTTGCTGATGACGTCATTCTTTTCAACAAAAGCGGTATTGGTCTACTAAAGAAACTGGATGTGTTAAATTATTATTGTATTTTAGAGTTTAGAAATAAATTTTGGAAAAGTGTAATATTATAGTAGTAAAAAATGGTGGTTACCTTAAAAAAGTAGAAAGGTGGTAGTATTTGGATGCCAGTATCTGTTGTTTCATTCTATAAATACTTGGGGATAATTCTTAACATCTGGGCTAATTTGGTCTAAAGCGTGTGAGACGCTGTCGGGCTCTGATCCCTACGTTTAGTATGTCCATACATTCCATTTCAAGTGGTGTTAAATATTTGACACCAACACAGTTCCTATTTTTGTATTTAGTTCGGAAATTTGGGGATTCTCATATCGGGTAGAAAGTGAAAAAGCCAAATATACTTCTTAAAATATGTTTAGGAATATCTTAGTATTCGTCATCTCGAATGGTTCTGGGTGATACTAGTACTTTTTAAAAACAGTGATAGATATGAGCATAATGTTTGAGCTGACATATTTCACTACGTCTTGTGACTTTTCTAACAACTCAATGTGTATATCCCAAATTATTCTGTTGGTAGATTTATATATACCTGCATGTATCTGTGCCTATATCTACCGGTACATATATATACCTACTTTAGTCACGTGTGTATCATTGCACTCACAGTTCAGTCTATAATAAAACCATCCAGATTGTTGAAATTTTTACTCTTCAATCTTTATCACAACGTACATCTTAATGAGGACTGTATATACAACAGTAGTTGTAACATTAGGGCAGCGGAACATCTTAATTAGGACAATTGGTACAACGGCACTTCTGACTCTTAGACAATGGTACATCTTAAAATGGTCAGAAGATAGAACGGTACTTGTAGCTTGACAACATTGGGCTTGCTATAGAAATGCTCCTACTATATAGACAGGTTGCGGTTTCGACAGGTGGAGGTGAGCCTTTTTTCTTGTTTTCATACCTTCTATTGGAGGGTTAGCAAAATGAAATAGCACTAACAGTACTCTGTAGGTAGGACAAAGAAGATGACAACTTAAAGCCATATAGACAGAACAGGAGTGAGTAAGTGAGTGAGTGAGTGAGAGTTTATCAAACCTACCCGGCCTCGATATATTAGGCTACATACAAGCTGATAGGTTTAAACAAATACTAGTAGTAGGTTAGTTCCAGAGTTCACGCTAGCCGTTACAGAGATGACTCAAAGTTAACAAAATGCTCCTACGTTTTAGCAACTTTGACCTCTACGGTTCAGAATGTTGAACAACAGCCTACCAAGTCACGAATGTGGGGTAGTGATGCAGGTATGATGATTCCGCAGTTTACAGTTAGACGACATCACCATGATACAGCCAAGTGCTCGGGTACACAAAAACAATGACGTCGAGTAATTCCTACAGTTGGATGTACCTACACGTATGTTCAAGGTTATTTGTCAAGGGTTAAACTGTCAACAACAAAGAACATCATAGCCAGTTCCTTTGGTGACCCTGTTCAGAGTAGTTACCAAGCAACATTTGATGCTCGTACGAGCCATGGACTTGTTTGTCAATGACTTGGTTAAATGACCTGGTTAAAAAATGTCCCAGTTCTCTGAAAGCGTGGAATTGTAGCAGGCGTGAAGTCATCCCACAGATAACATCTTACCTTGTCAGCTTGCTAATGAGGTCACCCTCTTTGGTCATGTGGAGAAGGCGTCCGATTTCGGATCAGAAGGTTCGTGGGTGGAATCCCAGGACGGGACTCGGAAATTTTATGGTCGCTTGAGAATCATGGTCAATATATCAAACACCAGTATCCTTAAGGCTTGATTATTTATAGGACGTGGTTATACAGATGAGCTTCAATCGATGAAGAATGCTAAGAGAGACTTGTGGATAGGGCCCGGGAAATAAGAAAGAATTCGGTAAATATGTATCCTTTTGTGGCATGCTTTATAATAAACTACCTGGCCAATTCACTCTTTATTGTAGCGTCATAACAGAAATCGACCCGTGAAGATCCGAATTAGAATTTGTCGTCAGTAACCAATGCTTGTCGTAAGAGGCGACTAACGGGGTCAGGTGGTCAGTATTGCTGACTTGGTTGACATAAGTCATCGGTTCCCAGATCGATGTTCATGCTGTTGTTCACTGGATTGTCTGGTGCAAACTCGATTATTTACAAACCGCCGCCATATAGCTGGAATATTGCTGAGTGCGGCGTAAAACTAAACTCACTCACTCACTCACTCACTGAGGACCTTTCCAGAAAAAGATAAGCCTTCAGGGAAGATCGATTTTAGATGCATGATTAACAACTAATCGATAAAACTACGCTCTGTCTGATCGTCGATATAGCAGGAATATTGCTGATTGCGGCGTTCAACAACAGCAACTAAACCATAACAATAACAGACATCACTCGCCGCATTAAGTGCTTTCCTATAAATAGTTTTGAAATATTTCCCACAATGTCTAACGCTGATTTCCAATGATGACGCCGCATGATGTCAGGCTACACGTACCCGCAATAGATCCGACGTAAACATTACACTTATTCACCTCTTTTGTTTGGATGTGTTTTATAACGTTAGTTCATATATGCGTTTCGTTCTCGTTTCGTTTTATTGGAGAGAGCTTGACTTGAGCTTCACTTAAAGAATTCCCGAACGCAATTAAATCATAACAGCAGCCATTATCAAAGATGAGTATAAAAGAGCTATTGAGTTTGGCGACATTTTGTTGAGCTATCAGCAAAAATGCACTCGAACTCAAACCTTCGGCGTGACGAGCGAACACATTAACCAAGAAGTTAATAGCACACCTTATAAACTCCATTAGAACTCGACCTGGATATATCATCATTTATTTTGCCATCAATCTATGTGAGTCATTTAAGATTGATAAGTGATTGATCTTGCGTAGTGCGGAGAAGTCACACACAGCGTCTTCAAATTCATTCGTAACCAAACTGTATAAGAAACGTATGTATGTATGTGTATGTATGTATGTATGTATGTATGTATGTACATACATATGATATACATATATTGATATATATATATACATACATACATACATACATACATACATACATACATACATACATACGTACGTATGTATGTATGTATGTATGTATGTATGTGTATGTATGTATGTATGTATGTATGTATGTATGTATGTATGTATGTATGTATGTATGTATGTATGTATGTATGTATGTATGTATGTATGTATGTATGTATGTATGTATGTATGTATGTATGTATGTATGTATGTATGTATGTATGTATGTGTATGTATGTATGTATGTGTATGTATGTATGTATGTATGTATGTATGTATGTATGTATGTATGTATGTGTGTATGTATGTATGTATGTATGTATGTATGTATGTATGTATGTGTATGTGTATGTATGTATGTATGTATGTATGTATGTATGTATGTGTATGTATGTATGTATGTATGTATGTATGTATGTATGTATGTATGTATGTATGTATGTATGTATGTATGTATGTATGTATGTATGTATGTATGTATGTATGTATGTATGTATGTATGTATGTATGTATGTATGTGTGTGTTGTTTAGTTTATTTTTGTTTTGTTTGTTTTTGTTTCCTTTTGGTTTGGTTTGGTTTTATTGTTGGGTTTTTTTTGCTGTTTTTTGTTGTTGTTTGATGTTTTTTTCCTCTGTGTGTGTCTGTCTATCTGTCTCTCTCTCTCTTTTCCTCTGTGTGTCTGTCTGTCTATCTGTCTCTCTTTTCCTCTGTGTGTGTCTGTCTATCTGTCTCTCTCTCTCTTTTCCTCTGTGTGTGTCTGTCTATCTGTCTCTCTCTTTTCCTCTGTGTGTGTCTGTCTATCTGTCTCTCTCTCTCTTTTCCTCTGTGTGTGTCTGTCTATCTGTCTCTCTCTCTTTTCCTCTGTCTGTGTCTGTCTATCTGTCTCTCTCTCTTTTTTCCTCTGTGGGTGTCTGTCTATCTGTCTCTCTCTTTTTTTCCTCTGTGGGTGTCTGTCTAGATGTCTCTCTCTCTCTTTTCCTCTGTGGGTGTCTGTCTATCTGTCTCTCTCTCTCTTTTCCTCTGTGTGTGTCCGTCTATCTGTCTCTCTCTCTCTCTTTTCCTCTGTGTCTGTCTGTGTGTGTGTTTTGAGTGTGTTTTGAGGTAGTACCGTATCAATCGAAATGAATACACAGTCAATCCTTAAATAGAGCCTGTATTCATAAATTATAGGTTGTTCAACAGGAGACGTAGAGAAACATACAACAGTAAAACAAGTACTAACAGATGCAATGCCTTACACAGTATAATGTAGGTATAGATACAGCGAGCATCAAACTTGACACTTCGAGGCTGTACACTCAAGCGAACAGAATCGTCTTTCACAGGCCTGCTAACCGAATATTTTGCAGATTTTGCACTAGATGGTGGCTGTACAAAGCAGAGCTAGATTCTACAACTAGTATGTAAGTCTTTGTTTTTCATCTTTCTCTCTGTATTGATGATGTGTCGGGTGAAGAATTGTTTCTGTCTTTTTAGGGTTGGAATATTTAAGAATATATACTTTTATTATCCTCCATTGCTGAGAACTCTTACATTGAGAATTGTAAGATTATATCTGTCGTCTTCCTACCATTCCCTAAGTACTGGATTGTGTTTTATAGTATGCAGTAAACATCTTGAACACGTACAGCGTTATATGCATAACTATATTTAAATATATATTTGCCGTGTAGACTTGACGGTATGGTTTAGCTTTGGGGATTTATTGGGGGGTTTTTGGCTGTTGTTTTTAAGTTAGTCACCATTTTTTTTATTTCTGCTGTTGGTTATTCCTTTTTCTGTCATCTTTTTCTACTGATACTGGGGGGTGGGGGTGGCTTTTGTTTGGTTTTCCGTCGTTATTCCTTTAAATTTATTTTTTTGCGGAGTTAATAGATGATCACCAAGCTTGATCTCCGGACAAGTACATTACTTTAGACCAAAAGGTTTCTGTCTGTTCAACCAAATTGTATGCCAAAGAAGAACAATATTGTTTGTGAGTTATCTGATAATGTTTCTCGAATATTGACACATCTATACTGTATGAATCTGAACTTTATTTCATTCGCTTTTAGCAGAGAATAAACGCTTGTAGTAGTCCACTGTAGTAGTAGCAGTAGTAGTAGTAGTAGTAATAGTAGTAGTAGTAGTGGTAGTAGTAGTAGTAGTAGCAGTGGCAGTAGTAGTAATAGTAGTAGTAGTAGCAGTGGCAGTGGCAGTAGTAGTAGTAGTAGTAGTAGTAGTAGTAGTAATAGTAATAGTAGTAGTAGTAGTAGCAGTAGTAGTAGTCGCAATAGGAGTGGTACTACTCGTAGCAGCAGTAGTAGTAGAAGTAGTTGTAATAGCCGTCGTCCTCGTAATAGTAGTAGTAGCAGTAGTAGTCATAGTGATAGTACCGGCGCCATGTAACTGGAATATTGCTCAGTGCAGCGTAAAACTAAACTCACTCACTCACCCATAGTAGTAGTAGTAGTAGTAGTAGTAGTAGAAGAAGTAGTAATAATAGAAGTAGCAGTAGTAATAATAGTAGCAGTGGCAGTAGTAGTAATCGCAGTAGGAGTGGTACTAGTCGTAGCAGCAGCAGCAGCAGTAGTAGTAGTAGTAGTAGTAGTAGTAGTAGTAGTAGTTGTTGTTGTTGTTGTAGCAATGGCTCCGTGGATGCTGTTACCTGGGGCAAAATCAAGATCTGACATGACATTATACACGTTTTCATGATCCTGATGAGTATGCAGATGAAATCAACAACATGCTAAAAAGTACGAATGATTCACAGCTATCAAGATAATATAACGCTCATTATCTCGACACGATCGTTCAATTAATTAAGAATAAATAAAGCTGACGAATAAACACAAATGCTCGCTATTTAGTACTGGCATATCGAGATATCATCCCGTTCGCGCTTTGTGTACCATATACTACTATGGTCAGCGTCCGCAAACAAGAAGCTAACTTACAATGGATTCATAGCTACCCTACAGAGTGAGTGAGTATGGTTTTATGCCGCTTTTAGCAATATTCCAGCAATATCACGGCGGGGGACACCAGAAATGGGCTTTACTCATTGTATCCATGTGGGGAATCGAACCCGGATCTTCGGCGTGACGAGCCAACGCTTTAAACACAAGGTTGTCCCGTCTTTTATGAATAATCCCACGAACATTGATGAATTAATTATTTCGTTTTCCTTCACATAGGATTCAGTTCTAAACATCGACCTAGGTCCCACATTTATCGAGCTGGCCGGTGCCACGCTTTAACCACTAGGCTACCCCACCGCCCCTTTACCCTAATGAATTGACACCCCGAGGTGAATGACACCTGGGTCCTGGGCCTAGATTTTCGAAGCTCTCTTAGTGCTAAGATAGTCGTAAGTGCCATTCATTAACATTAACTTACGACTATCTTAGCGCTAAGAGAGCTTCGAAAATCTAGGCTCTGATCTGGAAGACGTAGACTCACACACTACAAAATACACCACTCCACCTGCTACAAGGTCCGCGGGTAGTTCTGTAGTCAAAGGCGCCCCAATTCCCAGAGTTGCTTCCTTAGTAGTGCCAGTCTGGTTCGAACCTCAGAGGAGCGGTAGGGTAGCCTAGTGGTTGACGCGTTTGCTCGTCACGCCGAAGACCCGGGTTCTTCTGGTAATCGAGTTGTGCATATACGTTGTTAATTACATCAATATTAACATGTGCTTTTAATCTTTTGTGTCTGCCCATTTATGTTATGGCTATTTAAACATGATAAATATTTTCAGCACCATTTCTGGTAAACCATTTGTGCATATACGTTGTTATTACAGCAAAATCAACATGTGCTTTTAATCTTTTGTGTCTGCCCATTTATGTTATGGCTATTTAAGCATGATAAATATTTTCAGCACCTTTTCTGGTAAACGATTGGTGCATATACGTTGTTAATTACAGCAATATCAACATGTGTTTTTAATATTGTGTGTCTGTCCATGCATGGATGGCTATTTAAAATTGAGCAACTTTTCTGGTAATCGAGTTGTGCATATACGTTGTACTTTGGACGTCTTTTGTGTACGCCCAAGTTACACAAGGCAACGAGTACGCTGTTGCTTAGCATCGGGGCAACCGAGTTATTTATCTTGTAGGAGAAAGACAGCGAGAGACCCATCGTGGCTTAATGCGGCTGTGAACAATGTTTCGGTAAAAACACCGTGTGTCGTCTAAAAGCGACATCCTTGTTTGGCAGGCTCTTGATGTTTCACAATGGGGAAACGCAAACAAGGGATCAAGTTCACGATCACAGTATCCTGGCATGGCAAAGTTAGGTAACTCTACATGTTACGAGCCAGTGGGAATTGGGAGAATCTGATTGCAGAGGAGGGTTAAAAATTACAGGGTTACCCAAATAAATTCCTCGAGATATTTTCTATTTTGAAACTTGTTGGAATGCACTTACAGAAAGAAGAAAATATCGCATGTTCTTCATGGACATACAGCACTGTGACCCCTCTTTACTTGGGCGAACTTTTTTTAAGTATTGTGTACAATTTGGAAAATGCACGAATATGCTCAGTACATTCTCAAATGAAACGCTCATGCTCTCAGCTTAAACGTTTAGAACTGGTGTAATCGACGGCCCTTATAACACTATAGATTCCTTTAAAAAACCATTTATCAACACTTAAAAGAACATCCATTTTATTAAACTGCAATAAATTATATTGCATAATAGTTTAATTAGAATTTGTAAAAACAAGCTAGTCCTTAGGTCAAAATTGTTAAATGAGGGTCCCATCTCAGCTACTAGGAAAATGGAAAGATATTTTAATACACTGTTCGTAAATACACAAACATGGATTATGATTTATAGTGATAGTGCGTGCGTGCGTGCGTGTGTGTGTGTTATCTCTGCATATTCTCTACCCGGGGAAAGTCCGGGCTAGAATATTGATCTTCACCAACCCATGCTGGTCGTAAGAGGCGACAAACGGGATCGGGTGGTCAGTCATGTCGTCGCATCCCAATTGCGTGATCGATCCTCATGCCGTTGGTCACTGGATTGTCTGGTCCAGACTCGATTATTTACAGACCGCCGCCATATAGCTGGAATATTGCTGAGTGCGGCGTAAACCTACCTCACTCACTCACTTCATATTCTCTGTCGAAATGAATGAGGAATAAGATGGAATAAGAGAAGAATAAGGATTTAAATAAATGTAAAAATATGATCCTGCTCATCGAATTCTCTGTGTATGTTATCCCTGAATATTCTCTGTCGTTTCTACATACACCTATGTCTGTTGTGATTATATACTACCCATCAAAGGAGCTGTTTACACATGAACTGATGTATCGTAAAACGAATTCGTTACGTTGAAAAGATTATTGTCATGAGTTCAATAAATGATGAAAATGAGTGAAAATTGGCGAATTCTTAACAAAACTTGACACCAAAACGCAGCTGTTCACATGCGCGATATTTGCACATGTTTTTCAGCAATTTGATGCATGATCCTCATGCAATTCATCTGCATAAAGTTTGCAGTTGGTTCCCCCAAGTTAGTGGAGAAATTCATCTTCGATGTAACCATATATATATTCATAACATATAGTGAGTGCTTAAGTGAGTCTAAACTTTTGATGGGTAGTATATAACGATAATCGTGGAAATGTTATTTGAGAGAGGGCTTCCTAAGTTGTGAAAGTTTGTTTCGTTGTTAAATAACATATGTTTACATCAAGAAGGGACAGGGAGGGGGTGCGGTCGGGAGGGGTGTGTGTGAGGGGAGGAGGAGAAGAAAAAGAGGGGCACGCAGGAATGGCGAGAGGGAAGGGTTCATGGAGAGCGTGCGGTCAGGGAGAGGTGCAAGTACAAGAAAAACGCGTGAATGAAAACTGGAGGGGGTGACTCGGAGGAGGGTGTGGTCAGGGACCAAGGGGGTAAAACATCTTGTTGTTAAAAGAAGGCCGACAGATAGAGCTATTTTTCGATATACTGACGAAACCGGGTCGCCATACCTGTAACTCCAGGTGTTGTAATGAAAACAAACCCCAAAGTGAAGCATGCGTCATCCTTGACATGAGTAACAGGACACTGATGTTAAAAACATAACAGTACAGTTAAATACATATTTTTTCCAGCGTATCTACATGAAATAGATTGTATTCAAAACCCTTTTGTGAAAACACGCAGATGACACGCTCAAGATCTTACCGTTCCTTGTAACGGATTCAGAATTGTGAAGAGCGAGGCAAAAAGTAATAACTACAACTGATATATATTTTTAAAAGGATAGTGATTGCGTGAATCTGGTTAGAATGAAAATAAGCCAACATCAAGTTAGTTATTCAAAGGGTTATGTATTATGCTAGATGCACCTGTGCCATTCGCTGCGAAGCGCTATTGTCACGTGCATGGTTAAAATAAGACACGCGCTTATTAAAGCACG